GGTACCTGGGATTGAACTCAGAACCTTGTGCTTTCGAGGCAGGCAGTGGCACCACTGAGCTAAATCCCCAGCCCAACAGTATGTATGCTTTACCTCCCAGAAGTGTATTGTTTTTGTTTTTGTTTGTTTGTTTGAGACAACATCTTGCTGTATTTTCTAGGCTGGCTTTGAACTCAACTATGGAGCCAAGGCTATCCTGGAATTTGTGGCGATCCTCTTGACTCAGCCTCCCAAGTGCTGGGTTTGCAGACATGTGCCACCATACCTGGTGGAAGTGTGTTTTTGCAGGCCTTTCTGAGGTCCCTGGCTCCCACGTCCTCTCTTGGCTCCTTCTGTTAGACAAAGGAGGCTTTGCCTCAGCTCTCTGCCCGCTTTTCCACTTGCTCTAGGTCTGGAATTTGTGTTGTCATCTCATTTTGTTGAAAATGGAGTTTGCATTTAAAACACATTTGAATAACTTCTGAAAATATTGACCTTTTTTTTTTGGAAAGGGAGAAAGACAATAAATACCTGTAAGCAGTTGCAGTCCTCTTTTCTGAAAAACACAAAGCTGTGAAACCCAGAGATCTGAATAGGGAAACAAATAAGAGCACAGGAAAGAAAATGGAGCAATCGAATATTAGCTGTTCCACCACTACTGACCTTGGTGGAAGTGGAGAAATGAGGCCATCACCAAGCATCTTCCACCTCTTTACCAGATCTCATAGGATTCCTGGGGATAACCCTCCAGTGCAGGGCACTGAGAGAACATCTGTGGCCTAAAGAACCCCAGGCCCAACCTAGTCCCTTAGTCTCCGAAGCTGAGGGATGGGGCCAGAGAAAGACACAACTGAAAGAACCCTCAGTGGGCGAGCAGAGGTCGGGCCACAAGTGGAGAGGAGCCCTGAGGGGCAGGTCCGATAGGAGCTAAATGCAAGAGGACCCAGACTGGATACTAGGAAAAGGAGAAAGGGAGAAACAGAATTGAGAGATTTGGGAGAGGAGTAGCAAATAGAAAAGACCATCAATCAAAAACTGAGGCAGCTCAGTGCGGGCGGGGCGGGGGGGTGATAACAGGAAGGAATGATTAAGAAGACATCCTTGTGACAACATGCCTGTAAAACCAGCTACTTGGGAGGCTAAGGCAGGAAGATCACAAGTAGAAATCCAGCCTGGGTGTGATATAAACACTGTCTGTCTCTTTCATTCTTTCTTTTCTTTCTTGTACTGGGAATCGAACTCAGGACCTTGTGCTTGCCAGGCAGGTGCGGCACCACTGAGCTACATCCCCAGCAACACTGACTTTATGATGAAGGGTTCAAAGTAGAAGTCTTAGCCAGGCCTATTGGCGCACGCCTGTAGTCCTAGCACTCAGTAGGCTGAGGTAGATGATCACCTTGAGTTCAAGGCCAGCCTGGACTACAAAGTGAGTTCAAGGATAGCTTGAACTACATAGTGAGATCCTGTCTCAAAAAACGAAAAACAAAAAACAAAAAAAGTGGGCCAGGGATTTACCTCAGTAGTGCCGTGCCTCCCTGGCAAGCTCAAGGTCCTGAGTTCAATCCCTGGTTCCACAAAAAAAAAAAAGTCTTAACTGATTTTTTTCTATTAACATCCTCCACTGGTCCCACAACATCATATGCTAGGCTTCTTGCTACACCTGCAAAAAGCCTCATCACCACTGTCATTCATCTTCTAAGGCCCTGGGCCGGGGATTTAGCTCAGTGGTTCTGCTGCCTACCCTGCAAGCGCAAGGACCTGAGTTTGATCCCCAGTACCAAAAAAAAAAGGAATGGACATCTTCTAAGCCCCTAAAGTCCAAAGAATGTCCTACCCGGGTTTAGGAAGCTTCATTCATTCACCATGCCTGCTCTGCACTGGGTCTTGTTCTAGGCCTTGGGTGCAGCATGGAAAAATTCCTGCCAGACATTTGACACACCAAAGGCAAATATCTTGTTCAGTTTTGTTGTCTTTTCTTTTTGTGATATCTGAGATTGAACTCAGGGCCTTTGCACTGAACTACATCCCAGCCTTTTTTGTTTGTTTTTAAATTTTGAGACAAGGTCTCATTAAATTGCCCAGACTGGGCTCAAACTTGTGATTCTCCTGCCTCAGCCTCTCAAAGTGCTGGGATCACAGGTATGTGCTGGTATACCCAGCTTTAAGACCTGGCAGCAGGTTTTAAAATGATTCCATATATATGAGGCTCAGGGATGAATGCAGTGGAAGATGCTGTTTGGGGTTCTGAGGAAATGTGGTATAAAGGCAGAATGTGCGCTCTGGCATCAGACCTAGATCCAGCACTCAGCCCTGCTACTGAAATTCCTGACATTGAGGGAGTCTCGTTGGCTTTTCCTCATATATAAACTGAAGATTACTTCACCTGGCTCAGGCTATTGTTACAGAATTAAGTACATGAAGTTCTCAGCACATGATAGATACTCAAAAAGAATTACTTTCCACCCAAGAGGTTGGTTACACCAAAGGAATAAATACCAATTGGTGGGTCTGTTTCTTTCTCTTTTAAATCCTAGTAAAATATTCTTATCACAGTGTGCCATCTCCACCATTTCTGCCTTAATAGTGCATTAAATACATCCACATTGTTGTGCAGCCAGCACCACCATCTGTCGCCACAGATCTTCGTCTTGGAAAACCCAACCAGATCACCTTCCTCTCCTCAGCTCCTGGCCACCAGCATTCTACTGTCTGTCTGTATCTGTTTGCCCACTGTATACTTCATATAAGAGAAATCCTACTGTTACTGTCATTTCATGTCCGGCTTACAGACTCATGTCCTCAAGGTTCATCTGTGTCTCAGCATGTGACAGAATTTCCTCCTTTTTCAGGCTGAGTACTGTTGCATTGTGTGGATAAACTACTTTGTTTTACCCACTCATCCAGCAGTGGGCGCTGGGTCCCGCCCACATTTTAGCTCTTGTGAACCTCACTGTTGTGAACGTGGTGTGCCGGTGCCCTGCTTTCATTTCTCTTAGATACGTACTCAGAAGTGGAACTGCTGAGCCCTACGGTGATTCCATTTGTGATTTCCTGAGGAACTGCACACAGCTTGTGCACCTAAAGGACTGCATCTTGATGGGGAAGTGAAGTCCCCAAGGATTAGTTTTAAAATCAGTTTTGTGTAAAATTTTAAGTTGTGTAGATATGGACTTTGGACATTAAATTTCCATTTGTACATAGATAATGAGTAACAGAGAGTATATAAAATGTAGAACCCCTCATGAGGGTAAACAGAAAGTGATTCCTAAAGCTCAGCATGGATACACATGAGGGGGTACTCCTGCCTTACCACTCTCTCCCAAAGATCAGAAGAAATGTCCTGGTTACGACTGCTAGCTCCTTCCCTCCAATTACTTTAGGCAAAATAAGGAGGAGCACTCGTGGCTGAGCATGGTAGCACACACCTGTAATCCCAGCACTCAGGAGGCTGGGCTACATGAGTTGAAGGCCAGCCTGAGCTGGCCTACATAGAGAGACCCTGACTGAAAGCACCCATGTGCCAGAGAATGTCATGGGTCAGATGCACACATGCACAGGGATAGACACATCTTTCTTCTTGAGTCTTCACTGACAGTGGAGGAGATGGGAGCTGGGCTCAGTCTAGACCCATGGTTCTCAGCTGCGGTGCATTTGCCCCCTGGGAGACATTTGGCAGTGTCTGGACATTGTGAGTTATCAGTGAGGGGTGCTGCTGCCATCTTGTGCATGGAGACCAGAAACATACCATAGTGCACAGAACAGCCCAACACATCCCCATTGTCCTGCTGGAAAACCCTGCAGCCTGTCCTTAGCCTCCCTCTCACATAAAGCTGCCATCACAGCCAGACCAGGAGTCCCCACCCCCTGCACCAGCAGGAATCCTTCTGCCCAAATCCTCCCCACTTCTGCAAGATCAGAGCCCAGCTGCAGTTGTCACACTGCCCTGTGAGGTGCCCTGCTCTCTCTAGCCATCCTTCTCTGACCTGGGGACAAGTCCAATAATCTGGCACTTAATTGGCCATAGAAGGTGGTACTTGCTGTCTTTCCAGCCTGGCTAAAGTACCTTAGGGTCCATGTTGATAGGATTTGATTTGAAATATGAAGTGTACCTGTGGGCACCTCGGACTTGACCCACCGTGACAGCTTTCCGTGACAGCTTTCCTACCTCCTGCTATCCTGGGTGCAGTGCTTGAGTCACCTCTGTTCTGTCACAGCAGTTGAGCACCCTGGGGTTCATTTCCATTTAGGGAACCACTAGCTGAGTGGACCCTGAATCAAATGTGAGCTTCAAGCTTAGAGTAGCACTTTTTTGGGGGGTGGGTACTGGGGAGCGAAATCAGGACCTTACCCTTTTGAGGCAGGCGTGGTGCCACTGAGCTAAATCCCCTGAGAGTAGCACTTTTGTAGACCATGTCTTCTTACCTAAGCAGTAAGATACAGGGCAAGGGTGACTGACAGGAATGGAGATTTGGTCTGATCACTTCCCTCCGAGGGAGCCCAGGCCGGAGGGGTCCCACAGCACATGGGAGACATTTCCATTTCCGCTGCTTAGATAGGGATTGTTCTGTCATAGCTGGACTCACTTAATGCCAGTGAGTGCTGATGATGGTAGAATTAGTGGTGAAAGCCAGCATGTAGCAGGGTCACCCATGCTAGTTGTCCCAGCCACCCTTTGCCACAGTCCTGGAAGGAGGTGGGAACAGCAAAAATAATTTCCCCAAGGTGCCCAGCTGACAAATGGCAGATCTCCAAATCCTGGGCCATCACCTTGCTGCCTTGAGTGTAGCCAGGTACCTCTGCTGGTGCTGACAGAAGACATTGGGGCTGTGGCACACAGGGACCAGGAGGGACCCCTCATTACCTCACTGGAGAGGTGACTGTGCCAAGCCCTTCAGGGTCTGAATTGTAAATCAGAACCCAGTGTAATGTGTGATCGCTCTGCTGCTGTAGGAAAAGGGGGCCATGCAGGCTCGAGCCTGACCCCTGTAGCTGCTCTGACCTCCCTGTCTGCTTCCCTGCAGGTGCACTACATCCTCCAGGAGGTGGTAATGGGTGGGATGGTGCTAGAAACCAACATGAATGAGATCGTGGCCCAAATGGAAGCTCAGAACCGGCTGGAGAAGTCAGAGGTGAGTCTGGGGCCTCGCACTTGCTATGCAAGGCAGACGGCCCAGGCAGGAGGAGGAGTATGGGCACCTTTGGAGGTGGTGTCTGCTCACCTTCTTCTTCCTTGAGTCCATCAAAGCTGGTTGATTTGCTGGTCATCCTTGAAGGTTAAGCAGGTAGGGCGGTGTGAAGTCTTAGTCTTCCAGGCTAGAAGTATGAATGGAAAAGGCAGATGACAGGCCAGGGAGCTCAGGCTTGGTGGGAGTGGGGGTGGGGGTGGGGGTGGGAGTGGGGTTATGATCAATGTTTGTGGTTTCTGATTCCTCCTCTCAAGGCTGAACTCTTTCTGAAGTGACCTGGAATCTCCTTTCCCATTCCCTAGTTGTTTCCAAGTTTGTATGTTGGGTGAGCCTGATTTCCCAGCAGCCATATCTTGTGATGTCTTTCATCCCTGGTTGCCAATTTCCTTACTTCCAGTTAGGCTTGTAAAAAGCTGCTACAGTAGCATTGGGCCAGGTTTACAAAGACCAAGCCCACGCCACCCTCACATGGTGCTGGGCTGATATAGCAGCTCTCAGGAAAATTGGTCCCCTGAGATTTTTTGGTCTTTCAGCCATACCAGGGAGCAGCAGTGACAGGCACACACCTTCGAAGGTGCAGAAGGAGCAGAACAAATTACCTCTTTAACTGAGGGTCTTAAGAGTTTCTTTGCTCTGGGTAATGGAACCAGATCTTGTGAAACCAAGAACACTTCCTTCTGTGAGGACTGGCAGGGCATTGAAGAAGCTTTTCCAAACCGCAGCTCTTGGGCCAGCTCTAGTTCCTTCAGAGAGGTGGGCTGGGGAGCTTCTGGGATCAGGAGTGAGTCAGAGGCCAGGGGTTTGAAGCCAGAAGAAACAGACCTGCTGGGTAAGGGTAGGATGGAGTCGGTGTCCTGAAAGCAGTCAGTCAGGAGAAAATGATTTTGAGAGAGTCTGTCCACTTCTTTCTGTCCACTCAGGCAGTGAACATGGAGGCTCAACACGGACCTCTACATGACATTTCCAAAGCCAGCCTTTTCCATCCTATGTTAGTTGGCAAGCGGTTGCCCTAAAGTGATGTTTCTTTTCCTTTTCAGAATTTCCCCATGACGTTGCACTTGTCTACAAGATAGTCTCTTGAGGAAAGGGTTTGGTTTTGTTTGGTTTCATAACCAGAATAGTGCCCTTGATACTTCCTCTGACTTCGATAAAGCATCTGAGGTTATTTCAGCAAGCACATATGGGGAACCTTCCATGGGCCACACGCCATCAGTTGCTGGGACTCTGAAGCTATGTGACACATGACCCAACCCTGCCTTTGAAGAGCTTATATTCTGACAGGAGTGTGGGCCATGGGCCACCTGCCAAACCCCACTACCTTAAACATTGTTTTGTTGACTACCTTTGAAAAACAAGGAGGAAAAATTAAAAGTCATGTGTGTCAGTTTGGAATTAGTCTCCTTCATCTGTTGTGTTTGTAAAGCATCAGCAGAAGACACCAAGAGCCTGTCTCCTACTCACCTCTCGTTTCTTCTCAGGGCGGCCTTTCTGCAGCCCCTGCACGGGCTGTGTCTGCAGTGAAAAATATGAACCTGCCTGAGATCCCACGGAACATCAACATCGGCGATCTGAACATCAAAGTCCCCAACCTGTCCCAGTTTGTCTGAAGGGGAGACTTGGGCTGAACTGGAGTCCTTTAGGACAAACAAAGCCAGGCAATCCAGAAGCAGAACCCATGGAGACCTAAGAAGAGTCACACCTTGGCCCTGATACCTCTTGTGTGGGAGGAGCAAAGCAGGATCCCATGCGCCCCATGCCCTCTGACAGTGGGGAGTCTGCGCCACGCCACCTGCACCTTAACTCTCACTCAGCCTCCCTCCCAGGACTGAGACTTGAATCCAACTCCAACTCCTCCACATCAGAGCTCCTGAGGGCTGAGGGGAGGAGCCAGCCTTTCTGTGGGTATAATGAGCCAAGAGTGGGATTCCTGAGGCCTCCAGTCACCTGCTGGCTTTGGTGGGGCCCAGAATCCTTTTGTATAGCCAAGCTCCTTGGTTGCCACCCCCTGCAGAGGACATTTCCTCCCTCTGCGCAGTCCCAGTTCTGTTCTCCCCATTGTTTGTGTGTAGGAAGAATCCAGAGCGTAAGCCTGGTGCACACCACCATACATCTCACCATGCCGGAGAGGTCCTCCTACAGGGGTGAGAGGGACCCCATTTCTGTAGTGTATAAAAATACATTCCTGTCACAGGAGCAGAAGGCTCAGTTGCTGTGTTGTGAATGAGGAGTCCCCTCACCAACTGGGGACCCACTACCGCCGGTCCTGACTTTGGAGCATGAGAGCCTGAGCTGGGCCCACCATGCAGCTCCTGGACCTGCAGCGTGCAGGTTATGAGCTCAGCTGTGGGCACATCCAGTTCATTCAGGGACCTACCAGGCTTTGGAGACTGGAAATGTTCTCGTGTGATGAGAGTCTTTCTTCCTTGCAGCTCATGTGAAGTTAAGACTGCTGCTCACACTCAGGCCTCTTTCCACACACTGTCTTGTAGGCCAGGTCTCAGGGATGGGGTCGTGCTGCCTTGAGATCAGGAAGCCAACTTCGCCTCCTTCTGAGTCCCCAGCCTGTGATGCAGACTGGTTCCTCAGGCCTCCTGATGTGTGGCCAAGCAGGTCTGAGTGCCCAGCAAGACCATGTGTAGGGACCACAGAGTTGGGATTTTTGAGCAGTGCTTCCCGTGGTTTGTGCCCATTGTTCCTGTAGCCTTTCATCTTTGCTCTTCTAGGAGCTCAGCAGTGACCACAGAGATGGCTAGGTGACAATAGGCCTCATGTGGGAAGAAGGGGAAGGTAAATAGCCCTTGACACCAAATCCCCTTATTTGAAGGGGTTGATTTTTTTGTTTGGTTGTTTTGTTTTTCTGAAAAGGGTCTCACTATGTGGTTCAGATTGGCCTTGAACTCACTATGTAGCCCAGGCTGGCCTCAAACTCATGTCCCCTTAACTCAGCCTCCTGAGTACTGAGATTATAGGTGTGTGCCACCACACCTGGCTGGGGTTGATTTTTTTTTTTTTGTAGACATTTTGGCACATTCCCATTCCCTTCACATTTGCTAAATATGAAATAAGAATAAAGAAGATGTTGAAAGTGAACTTTCCATCTTCTGTAAGGCAGCATGAGCAAGATCCTCTGAGGCCCTTTAAGCAGACATTCTTACCCCATTTTGCAGAGGAAGATAGTAAACTCGGAAGGGTAGTTCAGCAGCAGCATAACCTGCTCTTCCCACACACACAGGCTAAGATTTCTCTCATGCTTAAGATGTCTTCTCTCAGTTTTATCTTTTTTATAGATAAGGAAACCAAGGCTCAAAAAGATTGAGTAGCTTCCCAAAAACTGATAAAAACAGGCTGGGGATTTAGCTCAGTGGTTGGGGATTTACCTCAGTGGTTCTGCTGCCTGCCTCGCAGGTGCAAGGTCCTGAGTTCGATCCCTAGTACCAAAAAACAAAAAAAGACCTGATAAAAACAGGCCTGGTTTTCTAAGGTAGCCAGTGACCACATCCTGGATTAAGAGCTGCAGGATTCCTCTTGTCCCTCTACCCAGAGCACTGTGTGTTAGTCGAGGGTCACAAAGAGAACCGAGTTACTTTCTGTGTTTTCAGGTGGCTACATGTGTGCTGCGGGACAGTCCGTGACTACGTTTCCTGAGATAGTCCTGTGTAGCTGGAAACCTGTGCTCTCCAAAACCACTGACTGGACCTATAGATGTTGAAAATGAACATCCGGGTACTGCCCCTCATGCTCATTTGGGAAACTCAGTCCGCCTAGACAACCCACAATGTTCATTCATAACCTACTTGAAGCTTCCTGCAAATCCAGTCAGCCGCCTTAGCTGCTGTCACCATCAACGTTCTTTTTCTCTTTCAGTGGGTAAAGAGGAAATCCTCATGCCCTCTTTTGGAGAAAGGTTCAGCATTTGCTGCTGAGCAATGTCAGTTTTGAAAGTAGGGTCTGGGTTTGAATTTCCTCCGAGCGCCCTTGGCCCCGGGATAGTTTACACAGGGCTTCCAGGGGTGGTATAGAACACTGGGTGTTCAGTACCCACTGCCTCTAGCTAACATCTAACCTCTGTTACTTGGTTTCTAAGTGCCTGATAAGGGCGCTTAGAAGGAGCTCAAAGGGCTCACTTCCTCTCATTGTCTCTAGGCATCTCTGAGATGCTCTGAGTGTTGGGACAGGGCTGCCTGAACTCTGACTGGAAGCCAGCGAGTGTCTAGTATTTAAAGGGCAGTAACCCACTTCCCACCCTGTGGCCCCACTACGTACCCTACGTCCTCCTCTGGCACATGCACAGCCAGGCCCCCCTCCCCTCCACATCCACCACCATGGATCCAACTTAGTGATGTTTTATTTGGCCCCAGCTTCACCAGAAAAGGAACCAAGGTGACACAGTGACACCAAGGTTGCTGGCTAGACCTTGTTCTGTGGCCCAGACTTTAGTAGAAGGCAACCTCACTAAGTCCATCTGGGCATGGCCTTCCAAATAAGAGACGGTGCTGATCATGCGTGGGAATATTGTCCCAGTGATGCCCAGGACGGAGAGCCCGGATGAGTAAGAAACCAGAGGACTCTGTTGGCTCCTAGCAAACATCCTGAGTCCCCAGGCTACTGACAGAGCACGTGGCTGCCTTGGCCTTAAGGCTTCAGCCTTCTTGGGAGCCCTGAAGGGGTCTGCATGTGCAATGGTTGGGCATAGTGGCACAAGTGATTGGTGACACCAGCCCTTGAGGAGGTGGTTCCAGGCAAATGATGATTCCTTTCCAAAAGATTTAAAATTCTTTCCTATTTCAGTTTTTCCTTTCAGAAGAGGAAATGAACTCATGAGGTTCACATTTTAAGAAAACAGACTCTTCAGCAAGATTCCCACCCTGGGCTGGGGATTTAGCTCAGTGGTTCTGGTGCCTCCCTCGCAAGCCCAAAGTCTCGAGTTCGATCCCCAGTACCAAAAAAAAAAAAAATTCTCACCTTGGTACCCGCAAGGGTTTCCAACTTGAAGGACTTAGGAATCTAAGCCCCTGGGTCTTCATTACCAAAAGTGAGGGCACAGCATCCTGAAAGTGACTCACCTTTGCCTGTGACCTCAGCTCCTGGCAGCTGACCTCGGCCCATGAGCCATGCCATCCTCTCCAGGGAGGAGGGGTCTCACCCAGCACCCCAACGTCGGCACTCCCCAGCCTGCCTGTGTATTTGGGTTTTTGAGCTGTGGTCTGATTCCCGCTTCCAGGACATAAGCCCAGCGTGGGATGCATCTCATTCAGTGCTGGTCTCGGCTGCCATGGGTAGCACCCAGTCCATACCGCTCAGTAAATTGCTGTGAAGGGGGAGGCAGAAAGCGGCACATTCTTAGTCTCTTGCTTAGCCCTGTGCTCAGCGCTTTGGGGAGAACAGCCAGGGTAATGGCCTTGGGAGCAGGAGGTGGGGAGGCCCGGTGGCTGTGGAGAAGAGAGGGGAGAAAAGGCAGAGCTAACTGATGTAGAAGGAGATGAAGTGGCCTGGAGGCTGTTCGCAAGAGGAGGTACAGCTCAGAGGGAGTGATCCAGAGTTTGGATGTGGACGTGTTAGCCTTACTCACCTGAGTATCTGGGGGCAGATACCGGCCAGCAGCTGGGTAGGCGGCAGAGGAAATGAGTCTATTGAAGTTTGGAGCATGGAGGTGAGTGCCATGCCGGGGGTGAGAGGGCCTAGGGTTGAGCCCTTGGGCAGGGGAAATGGAAAAATGGTCACCACAGCGGTTCAAGTCAGGAGAGGTGGGGGCAGGAAAAGATGGCCCTTCTGGGCTTGCAGCTGCTCCGCCAGGCCCCCAGGTGAGCAGTGAGGTCCGGTGGCAACAGGGTCTGCACTGGAGATGTCTGGTAGGAGTGTCTGCCAGAGATCAGCTCCTCAAACTCCACTGCAGCAGTCCCTGGAGCTCTGCAGAGGGAATGGGAGCTGAGGAAGTAGATGACTAAATCAACTGTCTGCCGTGTCAGGAAGTGGTGAGAAGGCAGCATCTGTTGCTCCAGAGAAATGAAGGCAATCAAGGAAGGGCGGATACAGCGGGCCCTGGCCTGGTCCCATCAGAGGCCCCCATGGCTAGAGGCACCGTGCAGAGCTCTAGGGGAAGTAGCAAGGTCTTCGGAAGTGAAGCTTCCTGTCAGATGAGGGCTCAGAGTCAGAAGAACAATGCTGTGATTGATAAAACCAGAAGTGTGGGGGCCATGAGGAGGGGACCCTGGAACTTCTTTCTCCTGTAGTAGAAGGAGCTAGCATTTGGTGTGGACCCAAGTGATGAGCTATGACCAAGCCGACCTGGATGAGGGGATCCCGTAGAGAGACTCCACGCTTCCCTTGAGAAATGAGACCTTGCCCTTTGTCACGAGCAAACCTTCCATTGCTGTCCAGTGCTGTCTCCCCACACCCCAGCTTTGCAGGACTGGGCCATAGTGGGACCGAGAGGGGAAGCAGGAGGCTGCCCTCTGCAAGCCTGTGAGCTAGTGTACAGCTAAGTGCCGGGAGGGAATCCAGGTCTGTTTACAGAGAGGTGTCCAGCAGTCACCAGACCAAGCTGAGGTTTACAGTACAGATGCTCCCCGAGTTAGCATGAGGTTACCTCCCAATAAACCCATTTTAAATTGAAAATTCAAAGAAATGCATAACATCACAGCACCTGGCACAGGCGTGATGTTTCCCCCAGTGATTTTGGTGCTGATGAGCTGCTCTCCATCGAAGCCCAACAGCAGAGAGGATCCTGCCGCGTGTCACCGGCTCAAGGGAGCCACAATTGGAGTACAGGTCCTACTGACTGTCCTGCCTGTGCACTGTGGTAAAATAAAAAGATCACAAGTCCAGGTTGTCTGTATTTCCCAACCTTCACGAATCAGGCACTGACCAATCAGGTCAGAGGGACTAGACTTGGGGCTCTGGGGGCAACTGTGGGAGAGGGACAGGAGCCTTCCCACACCTTCCCCAGACCTTTGCAGCTGGTGACAAATGGGCCAAGAGACAGCCACAAGCCCAGGGCCCTTCCACTGTGACCCCCATTAGTTTGGAGGTGAAGGTGCCCTCCTACTTCTCAGGTGCAGGGCACTGGGCACCTGCTGCCTTTCCCTGGATGCCTCCCCAGCCCAGAGTGGCTCCCCAGCTGTGGGCAGGAGCATGAAGGCCTGGGAAGGGTTGTGTTCCTGTTAGAGAAGCGCTCTGTACCTGAGCCAGCTGGGATTTGAGCTGCC